AGCTAACACTAAATGTAGTGATCTGCTAGCTTAATGCTACATGTAGCAAAAGGCTCTCTTTTGTGACAGCACAGGCTTCTCCTTGGGCTGCCACCTTATCGTGGTGGAGAGGTTTGAGTGTCCCAATGATCCTAGGAGCTATGTTGTCAGGGGCTTCATGCCCCCAGTAGGGTCATCCAAGGCAAACGGGTCCGAGGTGATGGATCAGACAAAGCACAGCCCAAAGACTCCTGAGTGCCAAGAATGAACTAAGTGTTCCCTCGCCGAGACGATTATTGCCCCCCATCTCAGTGCCTGTACGTTGGGGTTTACCCTGGTGAACAAGAGGGTAGCCTCCCTCTGCCTACGTGTAGGGGAACGGGGGAGTGGTTTGCCACCAACACTGTTTATAGTGGGGATGGTCCGCTGCTGACCTCAACTTGTGACGTTGTGGGTTGGTGGGCAGAATACTTCAAAAACTTCCTCAATCCCACTGACACGTCTTCCCATAAGGAAGCAGAGCCCGGGGACCCTGGGTCGGACTCTCCAATCTCTGGTGCAGAGATCACCAAGGTGGTTAAAAAACTCCTTGGTGGCAAGGCACCGGAGGTGGATGAGATTTGCCCGGAGTTGCTTAAGGCTCTGGATGTTATGGGGTTGCGTTGGTTGACGTGACTCTACAATATTGTGTGGACATCGAGGGCAGTTCCCCTGGATTGGCAGACTGGGGTGGCGATCCCCCTATTTACAGTAAAAAGGGGACCGCAAAATGTGTTCCAATAAGGGGATCACACTTCTAAGCCTCCCTGAAAAGGTCTATTCAGGGGTCCTGGAGAGGAGGGTATTTTGGATAGTCGAATCTCAGTTTCAGGAAGAGCAGTGTTGTTTTTGTCCTGGTTGTGGAACACTGGATCAGTTCTGCACCCTCAGCAGTGTCCTGGAGGGAGCATGGGAGTTCATCCAACCAGTCTACATGTGTTTTGTGGACTTGGAGAAGGTGTTTGACAGTGTCCCTCAGGGACTCCTGTGGGGGGTACTCTGGGATTATGGTGTGCCAAGATATGATACAGGCTGTTAGGTCCCTGTACAACAGGTGTCAGAGTTTGGTCTGCATTGCCGGTAGTAAGTCGGACTCATTTACTGGTCGGTCTGCGTTCCAGCCCTCATCTATGGTCAAGAGCTTTGGGTAGTGGCCGAAAGAATGGGATCGTGGATACGATCAGCCAAAATGAGTTTCCTCTGCAGGGTGTCTGGGCTCTCCCTTAGATACAGGGTGAGAAGCTTGGTCATTTGGGAGGGACTCAGAGTAGATCCGTTGCTCCTCCACGTTGAGAGGAGCCAGGTGAGGTGTCTCGGGTATCTGGTTAGGATACATCTTGGACGCCTCCCTGGTGAGGTGTTCCGGGCACGTCCCACTGGGAGGAGGCCCAGAGGAAGACCCAGAATATGAAGGAAGGACTATGTTTCTCAGCTGGCCTGGGAGCACCTTGGGATTCCCCCAGACGAGTTGGCCCAAGTAGCTGGTGTGGTATATTTTTGTGTACCGTGCCTTTAAGAAATGTGAACGAGCGTCAGACCGTGGGGGCGTCCGACCGGAGCGCGCATGGAGACGGGCACGTGCTCTTTGTCAGAGTTCTTCGTAACACCTAGCTGTTAGCACCCTCTCTYGCATCTCTCGTTAAATAAACATGTCTAGAAGCTGAAGTTATCGTCTTTCGTCATTCAAGTGTTAGCTGAGAGTCAACAGCTCAAAGGAAGAAGCCTTGTGATTTTCCAGCAGCTTACAGGCAAGGACGCTTACTGATTTTTCAGCGAAACAACCGAAACAGCAGCCACCAGAGTGAGCAGACTGGCAGACGGGAGCAGACAAAGAGAGAGACGGGTCCGAGCAGTTGACGGAGCCCAGAAGAACCGAATTGGACCGGGACTCGACACTGTCTAACTTGCACAAACAAATTCTTCAGTTTTGGAAGATGGTATTTCAWCATAGTTTCTCACCTCACAGATCAACACTGTGGAATTATAGGACAGTTACAGTTGGTTGGAAGAGAGTATTCTTACAAGATTGGTATGATAAGGGTATTATCTTTGTAAGACATATTTTAGATGATAATGGTGATCTTTTGAGTTTCCCATCATTTGTTGAAAAATATAATTTTAATTGTTACAAAGATTTTAAGAAGGTGTGTAAAGCAATCCCCTTGGCTTTGATCCAGCTAATGAAAAATGTTGTTATATATGCAAAGGTGACAGCTTTGATGCCCACACAAAAGGTGAATGATTGTAACTTGATGGATTACAAATGCAACAATAGGATGATAAATGAAAATATAAGACAAAAAAATCACCATGACTATAATACAGATTCCTTCAAGAAACCTTCTAATACCAGCAATAAAACCATAATGACTTCTGCTCATTCCAAATTTACAAAATGGCCTTTATCTCCTCAAGTGAAGGAAACACATTTTAAAATAATTAATAGGGTATATCCTGTAGCCTTGTTTCTTGAAAGAATATTTGATTTGATGATGATTTGTGTACTTTTTGTAAGTCAGAAGATGAATCCTTGGAACATTTGTCTTTCTCCTGTCATTATTCACAAAGCTTTTGATCAGAAATTAGGAACTGGATAAATCTTAAACTTAACATTACCTCTTTTGATGTGGATATTTTGTTTTATGTGGATAATTTAAGTTCTTCCTTCTCTGATGCCATAAATGTAGTCATATTTTTAGCAAAATACCGTATTCACTGTAGTAAGTGGAGAGATACCAAGCCATCCTTCCCCTGTTATATGAACAAATTTAAAGTATATGTTTCTTCATCAAGTACATTAAAAAAAAAACTGGAAATCAGCCAAGATCATCTCAAACCAGATCTCTRCATATTTACTGTTTTAACTTTCTCACTGTATCATTTTGCTCAGTTGTTTTTGTATTTTTTCTGTAACACCCTTTAGCTGGCCCCCTGACATGTAGCTTGTAGTTTTATTTTTTTTACCCTTCATGAGAGTTGTATTATTGTTGTTCTGTTTTACATTGTTAATTAAAAAAAAACATCAAGCATGGCAGAACATAYAGTTTCACTTCCTAAACAGGTCTTCTTCTACACCCTCCTTCACCCTCACTTTCTATCCAACAGTGACACCTACTGGCACAGCCACAATTGAATGTGAACACAATGGCTGTGTCTCAATCCATGGGCTGGGTCCTGGGACATGTGTTTATATGTCTTTTTACTGGAAGAATAACTTCTCAGTTAAAACATTACATGTAAATAAAAAAAAAACATCATTAATTTGGGTTTAGCTCCAGTATCAACAGTTGTGGTTGCATTTTGTATTTAACATTTTTATTGCGACTTAAATTTCAACAGCTAAATTTCTAAACTTACTTTTAAAAACAAGTTCTTCAATCTGTGGTAAATTTCCAAACTGTGCAGACTCATTAAAAAACAAAAACTCCACTGTCATCGTTTCTCTGTTTAGTTTGCTGCTCCCACATTGAATCCTGGGATAGCCTCGGCTGGTGAGGGTACACAGATGCGTCCTCGGATTTCGAGAGTTTGTCAGTCACATTCCTCGGCCGCATGAGGAACCTTTGAATTGGGACAGTACTCCACGCGGGGAAGTGACAAATGACAACTGGAAGGGTAAGAGTCAGGCCTTGTTATAGTTATGCTATTTTAAGTCTCAATCTTCAATCAGAGGGTCTTTATTATCTAATCAAATGTGCTTAGTCCTTCCTGTTTCTCTCTGGAGCAGGGTCTTTATCTGTGTCATCTTCTTACTGATCTGAAAGTGTCTTGGCCACCTCCTCTGCTTGTCTAACCTGATAGCTACTGTGTTTCCCACATCCGATTCTGAGGTGAGGTGAGAAGAATGCCAGTCTTCCATCTGACAATCCATATGTGCTGGGACCCACTTGCTTTTGGTATATTACTGGGTCTGCAAATCTACAGATTTCCAAATACAAATATACAGATGTTCTGACATACACAATGTTCTGCTCTTTCAAAAAGGCGAAAAATACAGCAGATATCAGCTGTGGACCATTGTCAGCCACAACATATTCTGGGTTGCCATAGTCACTAAAGGCAGTGTTGAGAATGTCCACCATCAAGTTCCACTTCCGGCCACATGGAATAACACATGTCTAGACTAACCTTAGTCCATGGTCCAACAGCCCAGGGAACTGGTTGTAGAGGTGCAGCAACAGTCTTTGATCCATGAAGTACTAAGTAATCATGCTTACTCAGTTCACATATCCTGGCATTTGGTTGCAACTCTGAAGTCAAAGGTTTTGAAGAAGGAGGCCACCCAATTTTGATCTGTGCATACAGGGCAGAGAGTTCTGTGCACCCCATAGAAGCAGACTTGAACTCATCAAGTATAATGGTAGCTTGTGCTGTAGTGAGCACTGCAACCAACTCAGGCTCCATCTCTGGCACGGACATGGTAGTTGTAGTTAGTGGAAATCTAGATAAACTGTCTGCGGTTTGGTTATGTGTGCCTGCTCAGTAAACCACATGGTAGTTGAAGCATAGTAATCATGCYGACCATCTGGCAATATGTAGTCCTGCCCTGTCAGCACTTTTGGTTCATAGTAGTGTTGTAAGGGCCTGTGTTCCCACAGGTACGTTATCCACTTTTCAATGGCCCAAACACAGGCCAAAGCTTCATTTTCTCTACAATTGCATATTTCCTTTCAGCCCATGTAAGGGTCCTTCAAGAAAATTYCACTCTTCGTTCAATAGTGTTTGGGCGAATCTGTGTGAAAACGGTGCCTATGCTGTAGTCTGAGGCATCAGTGGAAACAATTCTTGGTAAAGCTGGGCTGTACAAGGCTAGTGCTGAACTACTCAGCAGTAGCTGTTTGACTTCACCTAAGCATTTATCAGCTTCAGCCATCCATTTGTACTCAGAGTCATTGCAGAGGCAGGCACAAAATGGGTCAACCACCATGGCATGATTGGATATGAATTTGTTGTATCTAAAAAGCATTTCCAGAAAGGAACGCAGTGTGGCAGCATCCTTTGGCAGAGGTGCTTGGGTGATGTCTTGGACATGTTCTTTATCAGGTTCAATGCCCTGTGCTGTCACAGTTTGTCCCAGAAATTGCAGACTAGTCTGTCTGCATTGACACTGATTTGCATTGGTGCACAGACCTGCATTGTGTCAAGAGACCTGACCACACCAACCATCGCAAGAGTTGGAATCAGGCCAGCAGAGCCTCCTCATGATTCTCAACAGAGAGCAGAATGGGACAAGAAGAGGAGTCACAAGAGAGATCGAGAAGCAGGCCAAAGGGAGAGGAAGATCAAGAAACAGAGAGAAGAGAAGTCATTTTTAATGCTGGCAAATATATAACGTGAGTAATGATTATATGCTTAATGCCAAGGTATGATTTGCATGTACTGTAATAATCAGTGTGTTTCAATGTAAGGTGGTGGTTAGAAAAGAATGTAATAGAAAGGAATGTATTGCATAAAGGGTGTGTGTGCTATATTAGACGTTAATAGTACAAAGTGCACTTTTCAGAGCAGAAGTAGCTGGCAGAAAGCAGAAGTGCCAGAGGCTCTCAGGTGGAAAAACTAGTTTTGAGACAGCACAAGAAAGTYCCTGACAAGTGCTGTTACCAAGGAAACGAGATTACTTCATTCTAGAAAGTACAAGAAAAATCTGCGCCCAACCTACTCGCAAGGGTAGAAGAGGGGGGTGAGCGGGCCCAAAGACAGTATAAAAAGGGAGCGGCTTTGACAGTAAACTCGTCTTCTTGCCCCTACTGGAGAAGAGGCAGCAAGAARCAAGGACAGCCCAAGAAGAGGAGCAAGCAGATCCAAAGGACATCTCATCTGGGAAACGCTGACAAACTTCTCTCCAGCGATCTACGGACCGAAGACCAGATAAAAACCAGCCCAGCTCTGAGAAGTCMTTTTTAGGCAAAAGTCTGCTGCTTCTCATGGAGGTAAAAGAGATACGACTCCAAGCTGTTGCGCTTTCTCAAAATTAACAGAAAATGCCACACACCCTGGTCATAAAGATAGGCCAGAGCCTTAGAGATTTTTAATTTTTACCACCATCAATTATTACTGAATATTCTTAATCTGTATAATCAAATGTGGCTTTTCTTGCAAATTCCTATTAAACTGCTTACAGCATCGTAAAGACAAACTTAAGACTGGACATTGATTTTTTTAAGTTTTTCTCTGATTACATGAGAGTTTTGTTACTTCAGAGCAACAAGGTTTTAACATATTAATGAGTATGGTTACTTTGTGTCCAAGAGGTAYGAGGTAAGATGATATGAGGTCTTAAATCAATAATAAGTTCATTTTTAACAGTTATTAACCTGGGGAGATATGATAACTCTCTTTAACAGTTCCCTTGAGACCTACTGTACAGGTCACTAAATGGCACCTCGGTCACAATAAGAAGTTCACATCCTGAGAGGGAGCGGCTACYAGGAACAGTGGTGACCGGCAGCTGGAGGCGTCCTGAGCTACTACGCTGACCCAGAGGTCGGGGTTCAAGAAGGGAGCGACCACTGGAAGGAAGGTAGCTGGAGGCCAAGCTAAAGGCTCCCACCCGATGACTCCTGGAGGAGAAACGCCAGACTAAGCAACACAGGTCACCCCCAGGTGGCTGTAAGTCCGGTCCATTGTCTCCAATCCAAGGGGGAGACATCATTTCCTCTTCAAGACCCAGGGGGTCTTGAAGAGGAAATGATGTCTGGGGGAGGAGCCACACAGGAAATCAATTGTTAAGGTCCTGCAACACTTCATCCAGTGCAGCATCATAAATGGTAAATGGTAATCAGCTTGAACTTATACAGCACTTTATCAAGTCCACATGGACCCCAAAGCATTTCACACTTCACTCATTCATCCATGCACACATATCCACACATTGATGGTGGTAAGCTAGAACCACAGCTGCCCTGGGGCAAACTGACAGAGGTGGGACTGTCATACACCTGAGCCACTKGACCCACTGACCACCATCAGTAGTTCCCTCATGAAGTTCCTTTGTGTGTCTGAAGCAAAATATGTCATCAAGATAATTCTGAAGGTTTGGCACTCATTTCAGAATCACAGAAAAGCTAATGGAGCAGATGCTAATAGGGTAAACGACAGAAACAAAAAATGCCCTCATGAGTTATGAATGCAGTCAAATTCCCACTGTCTGGGTGGAATGGAAGTTGGTGGTAAACACTCTCCAAGTCAGCTGTGGAAAAGAGCGTAGATCAAGTTAATGTAGCAAGCAGTTCCTCCATGTGTGGTAGCAGATGACTATTCACCACTATGGCTTTGTTAGGTTCACTTAGATCCCAACACATTCTTATGCCACCTGTTCTCCATTGAGTCACCACAATGGGTAAGACCCAGGGTGATGCATCAATCCTTTTGATCACCCCAGCAGAGAGTAATCTGTTCAGTTCCTCTGACACAGCTGCCCTGACTTCAAAAGGCAGACGGCATAGTTTCTGGTAAATTGGTATAACATATTCAGGTACTTTGACTTGGTGCAAAAATCCTTTAACACACTCCTACAGCGCGACCATTGCCAGTATCACTCCACCCCCTGTTAACAATAAGTGTTAATTAGGTGTCAACGATAGCCATGTGATGTGAGTATCAGTCACACGGAGGCTGGGCTTAAAAGCCTGATTTTTGCCTGAAACTCTCAGACTGAAGAAGTCTCTTGGAGAAGAGACAAAATGTTTCATTAGAGAAGAACCCGTCCAGAAGACCTACACAATTTTTTATCTTTTTGATTTTTTACCTGGATTACTGAGATGCATCAGGACACCCCACAGTTGGTAGATTTTTATCTGCCGTGGAGAGCAGCATAACTGGGCTGAAAGCAGGTAGGTTGCAGGCAGGTGAAGTAGAAAGCAATGTACCTCCTTCAGTGCTTAAGTGCCATGATCAGATCCATCCCCATTAATGCAGTTCCCTGCTCTGTATAAAGCACATAAATGTTTGTTTCACATTTGTCATGGTGTCCTACCACTGAACCCGGTTTCTCCTTCAAAATAAATCACCTTCACCATCGGAAGGAAAAATTAATGCTTTGGAGGTTTTGAAACATTGTAGGGGGATCCGACAGGCTTGTCGAATCCCTGGCTGTAAAAACCCACTCTTTGTCGCTTGAGTTGGATTTCCAGCTCAAAGCTGAGTTCCTCCAAAGAGGAGCAACAGCTGCTTCCTTGTTTGAATTAGGAAGTCAGAGTGTGTCGCTCAAAGCCGTCCGAGTTAGTAATAAGAACAGACGACTTTGGTTCCGCCCTCAGGCTTAAAGAGGAGTCAGAAAAAGGAAAGCTAAAGATTTGCCAGGTGCCAGTCAAGGTTACTCTGTGTGGKTGATTAAACAAACAACATGATAACCTCTTYTTAACTTCCTTCTGATAGACCCCAAATAAAATCACCGCAAAACATTTTATGCTGATTAACTGTAAAATTTATGTTTATGATCAACTCTGAACCATTCTGTTAGTCGAGATAAATAAAAGATTTTCTCAGGAAAAATCCACAATTATACTGTATTACTGTGTTCACAGTAAAATAAAAACAGTGATTTACATAAAAACACAATGAAACCATTGTAATCAGATTTTCTGTGATTTTTATAAAATATTAAATCTTTAAGGCACGATAAGAGAAAATAAGTTATTCTACTTTTCCTGTGAAAGGCATTATCATGATTTAATAAATGCATAAACATTTTTAGTTAAATGGCAAATGAATCACAAACAAAGGAAATTGTTCTGTCCATTGTCTGATTAAGAGAACTGAGTGGTTCTCTTCCACGGTTAGAATGACCTATCAATGCCTAAATGGAGYTCAGTTTGTAACAGAGTTTCTGTCCTCTTCTCAGACCTGTCCGAGGCCTGCTTAGAGGCAGGAAATCTTGTTTCTTCACTTGAGGTGACCCCTACATTACCATAATTGAATCAGAAGAGAAAATAYATTCCTTTTTGATATTTCAGAGATAAACAGAACAGAGTGTTCATTCATGATGCAAATATGAGCAGCGCCTCTAGGGTCRCTGTAAGACCACAAATGAAACCTGCAGCCCTGTCCCCAGGAACTGGGGAATGTCTTTGTAGTTGAGTTTACGTATTGTCTGTCGTGGTATACTGTATATTTGATGTACTGTTACAAAGCCTGGTTCTTCAATTAGTACCATAGTACTAATTCCTTGAGACAAGACACGGTATCTGCTATCCTTGATGTTTATCTGTTAAAAMAGCCATTTTAAGCAGTTCAAAAGGTTTGACATTGGAACTTAATCAATGAGGGATCCCTGTCCCTGTTTTGTTTACGAGATGAATAACAAAGGCCACTGTCCTACTATCCTGAGATTGGGGGCAGGATAAAGTGTTTGTTCAGTGTTCCTGCAGAAGGTGATATTCCATGTTTGTGCTACAATATCTTGTTTTAATGCATATGGATGACTGCAAAATAACACTGCTGTCCGGCTCAAGGGCTTGCCATCTAAGGGCAGAGATACCATTATAAAGAATCTACAGGTCAGTGTTAGCTGATTTCAACCTGTTCAGGTGTACCGCAGAGAGAGATGAAGAACTATTGTAAAACTAAACCGCAATGTCTACAGGCAGACAATTAAACACACAAAAAGCACATACACAAGCAACTACATTGTATGATGTCTATTRGTAAAGTAAGTTTTGTGAATGACTAATGAATTTTAGTTTGCCATAATATAATCACTGTAGCTCAGTGGTCAGTGTTGTGGTAAGGGTTGAGCCCAGGAATCGTGCAAAACAATTGTCAAATAGTTTGTGCACATGTGCTTACTGTGGTGAACCATTCAAAAGGAAGCAGCCAGAGAATGAATGAATGAATGAATGAATGAATGAATGAATGAATGAATGAATGAATGAATGAATGAATGAATGAATGAAGTCCTGTGATGGACTTGCGACCTGTCCAGGGTG